ATGGGCACAGCGTTACATAGGTCCGATACAAGAGTATACTGACAACTGTTATGTGTAGGTTTGGCGATACAACATGTATCCATATCGGCACACCCCTCGGAACATGCGTGAATATGATTGTTGCCTCGTATTTGATATTTATTTTTTTATTTTGCATGCGACCGTTGCTTTTAATTCAGATAATCGTAATCGTGCTGACTTGTTTCTCTTTGACTTTAGAACATGTGATTGAAACCGATTATCATGCACCACCCGTTGGTGATGTTGGTTATGGCCGCGGTGGCATTGTTGCAGAAAGTGATCGTGATACATTTGACTCATGGGAAGATGCAACTGGTGGTCATTCAATGAGTGCTATGTTTGCGGAAGGTGGTCTAAAAACTGATTATGAGTTAAGTAATATTAATTCAGTTAGCATGACGCCAAATGGAAAATACGCTGTTGTTGGACAAAATCAAGGACCACCGCAAATATGGGATGCAGTTGTAAGACAAAGTTTTGTTTTCTTCTTGCTTGTTTTAATGCATTCAGAATCGATATAGAGATAATCACTTGAATAAGAGATAGCGAGAGTATAAAGGATTTATTTTTTGATAGATAATTCAATTAAAAATTTTATTTAGAATGAACAACTTGTTTCAAGTATGCAAGGACCTAGTAAACATTGCGGTAAAGTTGCATTGGCATGTAGCTGCACACTTCTCGTTGGCTTAGCAAATGATGGCGCTGATACTCAATCGTGTGTACTTCAAGTAGGTTTTATTCGAATGTAGATCTTCATCGAAATTCGTTTTTTTTTCTTCTCTCTAATCAAGATTTGGGATGTCAATACTGGTAAACTTGTACAATTAACTCATCAGATCAGATGTGCAACATTCACATTAAGTAATAATTCAAGTAATCTCATTATGGCTGGTAATCAAACGCACGGACGTGGTATATCAGTTGGCATTCTTGATTTAAATAATTCTGGATTAACACAAATCAAATCTGATACAAATCAATCCTATGGTGGTACACCGTCATTTATAACCTTGACGCCTGATGAACGCTATGCCATTGTCGGTTGTCCATCGGGACCTGCATCAACAAATTATGTTGTATTCGATTTAAAAACGCAACAAGAATCAGTACAACCATCTACTATAGCCTTAGATTCTGAACCGAAATGTTCAATCGTTTTAAATAATGATCAAATAATTACTGGTACCAAATCCGGGCAATTAGTTCTTTGGGATATACCGACATGTCAATGTTTGCATACATAAAATGATAGTGGGCAAAATGCTCATCGTGATCGTATTACCGATTTAAAACTCTCACCTAATCGTTCGTGTTTAGTTTCAACAAGTGCCGATTGTACAGCGAAAGTTTGGGATACAAACTCAAAAGAATTTATCTCAAAATTAATTAGACATAAACGCGAAGTAAATAAATACATAAATCGAAATCAATTAATTAATGTTTGATTGCTTTTCTTTCAGATTACTTGCTCATGTATATCAACTAATTAATTAGTTGCAACCGGCTCAAAAGATCAAAATGTATGTTTATGGCGTTTACAAACAGGTCAAATAGCGTCTACTACGCTCATCGGAATCACACTCATCGATATACATATGGCTGCACACAATCGAACAATAGTTGTCATTAGTGACAAAGATGGCGAAAGACAATTACCAGTGCTTCGTTTCGTATCTGTACAACGATAAATATTATTTAAACACTGGAACAAGATTCCTCTTTTTATTAACGGTATTGTTGCTGCTATTATTATTTAAGAAAATAGAACGAAAACCTTTTTACTCTTACCCACTCTCTGCTATCGTCGCTTCGAACTGTGGTTGGTTTTTTACTGTCTCTTGTTTGATTTTTTTCTCATAGTCACAGCCCGCCCATGAAAAAATGTTCATCATTTTGAACGTATAAAAACGCGCTTTTGGAAAGACTGAATGAATTTTAACGACTAAGAACGCGTTCTAAAAGCAAATTGAACCCTTCAAACGCGTTTTTATTGTAATGAACACATTATCAGGGAATGCGCTCTCGTAAACAAGAACGATTTCTAAGAATACGCGTTTGAACGCGTTCAAGAAAAACTCGTTCTTTTAACTGAAAACTGATCATCATAGAAATGCGTCTGAACGTTACAAGAAGAACGCGTTCATACAACTTCAGAACACGTCTCTGTCGTTTAGTAAGAACGCGTTTAAAATTGATTCCTGAATATCGATAGAAGCTGACTCGTTATAACACGACGTTAATGAGGATGTTTTCAAATTTTGATACAAAAGTATGTGTTCCTAGTTTGTATCTTGAGGGTGTGGGTGTCACTATTATCCTAGCTTTCACTCTCTCAACCAACAACCACACCCTCTTTATCCAATCTAAGCGATAGAATTAGTCTTATAGTAACACATTGGTTGCTTCTTAGCGATCACAGCTCTTTCTCTTGATACTTTTTTCAAGTCCAAATTCGATGCCTAATCTTTAGAATAAATTCAATTCTAAGAGAAACAGTAAAAAAGAACACAATAGCTGAAGGAGAATGACAAAAGAAATAAAACAAGCACGCACGCGTTATGATAGACCTGGATAAATCCGATCATAGAATTGTCCGATTTACGACGGTTAATCGTTTCGATATGTTAATCTTTTGCGATGACATTCTTTTATATGTTGTTTTCGACATTTGTTAATTTTATCTTGTATTTAACGATGTGCAGATATTCGTGACTTTATGATGTTTTACTGTCCTTCATTCATTTTGTTGAATATCGAAACGCAAGATAGCTGCTCTTTTCATCACGTGATTGATACATGACTTGGGTTTGGCGAAATTTCTGTTTTTTTCTTCTTCTCCTTATTGAATGTCTATGGTCTACGATACAGGCTGAACTTTTTTCACATTGGAACCCCTTGGACGAATATGACAGACCCGGATTCACTGCGGCAAAGGCAAAAAGTTCGATGATTGGACAAGAATATTCTCAACAGAGACTTCAAATCAGTGCACACGGATTACTTCAATGTGAACAGCAAAGAAATCCCTGCCGCCAGATTGGTATCATTGGAGCAGGTAAGTTGTATCTCTTCAATGAATTATATAGCTAAAGTGGTTCCTGGAAATTCGATTTCAGTTCATAGAACAGTTGATAGTTTAGATCTTATTAAACGAGAAAACCGATTACCATGCATAATTAAACCTCCACACCCTGCTTTTCTAAGCAATTCACATGCCATGCGTTGATCTCAGAAGTTTTCGGTGTTAAAGAAAATTCAAAACTAAAGAGGGTTTTAAAAATTCTATTAAAAATCAGAATGTTGCTACTTGTCAATAGCCAAGCCATCAAATTAATGTGTGTCTCTAAAATCAATAGAAATGCTTCTAAACAGAACATACAGCATATGAGTTTTTTTTATTTTTTATTGATGATACTGAATATACACCCATAAACTATCCTATTTGAGTAGCAATCAAGAGAGCACGTGATTCTCTTCGATAACTTAGATTTGTAAAATATCGTCTTCACCTGATTATGCTGATCAAACGAGCTATCATCCCAGAGTCACAGCTGAGAGCGTAGTTGTGCCGCAGTGTATGCATTTGTTTTATATAAAATGTAATATCTTCAACCAGAATCATAGATCGGAAGAGTACGAATGGACAATCTTTGCTAAGAATATTCAAATTTTTACTGTTTCACATCGTCTTTATTTGATGGGTAGGTGCGGCTGGCTTGTATTGCGGAATCCTTCTGGCCGAAGCAGGTCATACAGTAAAAATTTTCGAGGCAACTGATCGCGCTGGCGGACGAATTCAGACCTATCGTGATCCACAAAACCCATCGAAATACATGTATATAGCAGAACTGGGTGCTATGCGTTTTCCACTTGACCAACATCCTTATTTGAGCCATCTGATACGACAACGATATCAATTGAATGTTTCCGAATTTCCTGGTCCAGATGAAAATGCGTATACATATTTGAATGGAATATTAACTACAAAAAAGCAAGCACAAGAAAATCCCGATATATTCCAATTTAATACCAGTCAAAGCGAACGAGGAAAGGTGAGAAGACATTTTTATTTGTATGTGATGCATTAATATGTTGAGAGAGAAATATTGTAGACACCAAGTCGATTAATGTCTGAAGTGATTCAACCTCTTTTCCAAGTATTCTCAGAAGAAGGTTGGCCAGGAGTTCTAAAGAAATGGGGTTCATATTCGATCGAATCCTATTTGAATAGTATGAATCTGTCGCGTGAAGCTATTAATTATATAGCTGCTTCTGGAAGCGCTGACAGTCAAATGTATCTATCTATTTTGGAAGATATGCGTAGTGAAATCATTGCAAGTAATATCAGTAAAAATTATCGAATTACAGATGGCAATGATCTGCTGGTACAAGCAATGGTCGATGATTGTCAACGTATGCAATCAAATCGATGTTCGATAACGTACTCGACTCCCGTAAGCCAAGTACAACTATTAGCATCGAGTCAAGTTCGATTAACAACAAATAATGGTACGAGTGAAAGTTTCGATACTGTAGTTGTAGCAACACCGCCTACTGTTACTCAATTCTTCGATTTTGAGCCGCGAAAAGATTTTGCACAAAAATATTTAGCTTTACGTCAAGTCCATTACATTTGTGCATCAAAAATGTATCTCTTTTTCAATGTATCCTGGTGGTTTACGCAAGAAAATATCCAAGGAGGCTCATCAGTGACTGATTTGCCTATTCGCTTGATTTATTATCCGAAAACGACGAGTAATCAAACGAATGGTGGAACTCTTCTTGCTTCATATACATTTTCCAAAGATTCGATCACATGGCAGTCTCTATCTGACGCGGATGCAATTGATTTAGCACTAAAACAATTGATAAAAATGCATAGAAATTCATCGAACATGCGGGACTATTTTCAAGGCGGAAAAATCAAACATTGGTGCCAAGATCCTTATGCACGTGGTGCTTTTACTTATTTTACCCCATTTCAAGAGACGGAACTGGCTGATACATTACAAGCATCCGTTTCAAATGTACATTTCATCGGGGAACACACAACTCTTTTACATGGATGGGTCGAAGGTGCTCTTTCATCAGCCATTCGGGCAGCTCAGGCTATTACGACAGAAACAGAAATCGTAGTACCCACAAATGGCTTTCAAACTATACCGATGCACATGCCCAGCTTTCTTTGTGTTCTTTTATATTACATTTTTTGAGAGATCAAAAGACACTTTCATTGCAGAAATAAGAAATCTTTGTGAAATGATATGTGAGATATATAGCGCATACAATAAACCGGCACACGACTTTTTCATGTCGTTACTAATGTGAAGGTGATTGTGTGTTTATTTAGCAGAGTGAGTGTGGGTTGTTCCGTCTTCTCAACTGCACCATGTCTGATGGATAGAGGTCTGCGGTTTCACAAAAACTGGAACCGAAACCCGAACCGGAACCGTTAGGGGAAAGACTTTTTTCGTCGTTTAAAGCTACAATAAGTGATAGACGTACAAAACTTGATGCTGAAAAAGTAAACAAGTTATTGTTTTTGCAAAAAAATCTATCGGTATTGAAGAAATTAGACTACGTAACAACAGATGAGCCTACAAATCTTCAGCAGAAAAGAAAAACAGCCAAAACATCATCCACCACAATGCCATTTCAAGCTGAAGAAGAAACATTTGCCACAAGAGGAAAACAAATTCAAGTACCTGAACAAAACAACGTTGTTTTGTCTGATGATGATGACGATACTACAGATAAAGAAAATGATGAAATTGAGTGTTTTTAAAATTTGTTTCTATTTAAATAAGTATAATTTGAACATGATATTATATAAAAAGCTTTCTTTTGTTTTTCTATCTTTTTTGCACATTTTGAAAAACATATTTTCTCAATAAATATCAAGTATTTGGGATGCTAAAACGTCAAAAGTTCAAGATAATAAAACATCTCTTCATATATCTGATAGCTTAACGGTTCCACGGTTATACCTCTACTGATGGAACTGAAGATTTTTGTTTTGTGATACTAAACACCACTTTGGGCGATTAAAATCCGAAAAGAGCTTTCAAAAACACACATTTTCATTGTATGGAGCCTTATTTTGCCAACTGTTACAAATACAACGATGCATATAATATTTTCTAGCAACGAGAAAAGTAGACGTCCGAAGTACATTTTAGTATTAGAAAGAAAAGTTTCAGATCGATCGAAAGAGTGATTTACTATGAAAACGTAGAAAGAAAAAATGTCGAAATAAATAAATGTCGAAGGAAAAAATGTCGAATTAAAAATACGTCGATCATGTAATATGTCGCAACTTCTGAGATGTCGTAATTGACCAATATGGATTTTCTTTACTATCATATTTCTCCTGTTTTCGGTCGTATGTTCTTTTACAGTTTTGTTGATTAGCTAATAATTGTCCTTCAGTAAGCACGGGCGGAACTGGTGTTTCAAAGAATGGGTGCGTTGGGGGGAGGGGGAGCACAATACAGATTTTGACTATATTTTTACGATTCTTAGGAAAACGTTTCGAAGCAGGGTGCACACCATGAGAAATTTCAAAAGTAGGGGGCATCGCTCCCTCCATATTTACGCCCCTGCCAATAAGTCACTGCATGTGTGAACATTCTAGAATATCGAATACACACAGGATATAAAGAAAACAAATAAAGAAAGAAAAATAGAGGTATTGTCTTATGACCATATATATATTTCGCTCGCCTTTGGAAGGTCACCAACGTGGAACAATTGTTGAATAACTTATTATTCCTCATCGCGAAAAGGACATCAAATTTATTTTAATTACATACATATGGACCTGTTGAATGATTCATTTTTTATACCTATTTATCGTTATCAATGAACGTATTGTCCTTTTTTTTCGATGAAATACAATAAATATTTTCTAGTTTACATCTAACATCATTTTTCATTGATTCGACATTTTTTTCATTCGATCTTTTTTTATTTCGATATTTTTTCGTTCGACATTTTTTCTTTCGGCATTTTCAATACATACCGAAAGAGTTACGCACGAGAATCAGGAATTTGACTGTTTGTCTGTCTTTCATCCGTAAGCATCAGTGAAATAACATTTTTAGGATCAGCAAGACGTGTCATGACAGGTAGATCAGATCTTGATACGCAACGGAAGTCTAGTCAATAGCGATCGTATGTCTTGGCACTTGAATCAAATGTTTTGCATACGCAGCGAATTGAAAAGAGAATTGTCTCTGTATCAATTTCATGATAAATTCGATAAAGAATTTCGACGGGTAATATTTCAAGATAGGATTTCTCCATCGTATACATTAATGGTAGTATGTAGAATGTAAAAGTATCTAGAACGAGAAAAAAGGTAAAATTGCAATAACATACACTTGAAACTATGATAAATTATTGGGCGTCAATACGAGTTTTCCCTTTGGCCCTTTCCAAAACCCTTTTTTTTAAATAGATTGTGTATTATTAAAAGTTCAAAATGACAACTGCTATACAATAATTTCCTAACCAGAAATATTCATACGCACTATTCAATAAACAAAAAGGAAAATCTGTTCCTAACACACTTATGATTAAGTGTCTAAGAAATTCACACAGCGATAATAGAGTGATATTGATAACAATATTTCAGATTTTTTTTAGTCGTTTTCTTAGAAAAAGCATTTGCCAATGAAGTCTCATTAATCATCAATGTTTGAAATTTACAAGCTCTAACTGTAATATGTTGATGATATAAAATAATTCATTTTGAAAAACTGCTAAATAAGTACCCAAATCAAAATTATCACAATATTTATAATTGACACGTATACTGTGAGAGTTTTCCTTTTCGAACGTGCTTACATTTATAATTAATGATAATGTCTTAATCTTAAATTATGTCATATAGACATGATAAGATTAATAAAAGTTTACGCAGGTCTGCATGCTAGCAGTAGAAAAATATTTAACAATTGTGGAAATCACTTCAAATTCTTCTTTTTTGTTGGGGGTATTACCCATGGAAAAATATTCATCAAAATGAGCGTGAAAGAACGCGTTTTCGAAAAAGTTGAGCGTATTTTATCGACTACAAACGCGTTCTAAGAACAAATTCACGCGTTCAGACGCATTTCTCAAAATTTTGAACGCGTTTGAACGCATACTTGTTGGGAAGCAATGCGTTTTTATCTTAGTGAACGCGTTGATAGTGAAGGCGTCTTTTATCGCACGAACGCTTTCAACTTGTATGCGTTGGAACCTGTTCGCGAGTAATTCATTCTTATAGTTAGAAAATCCGTTTCTCCAAAAACGCTTGAAAACGTATACGGAAGAACTTGTTGGGCAACTTTCAGCACGCGTTCTTTTATGTAGTGAAAAAGTGCTCATTTTAACTTAATGGAATTCATTACTTGAAATATATCGAAATACATGTAACGAAAGTGCTTACTAATTAAGAAATATGTGTCAACATGAATAAATTTCTTTCTGTTGCAATGTACTGATACTGAAAGATAGTGTCTTGTTAAGCAAAGTGATCATCTATCTAGAGTTTCGTAATAAATGATTTTCCTTTTTCCTAAACTAGTTTTTCTTATCAAACGAATTCGCTAATGCCATATTCATTTTTATTTCATAAAATTATAATTACAGAACTTTAAATCAAGTATTTATTTCATGAATGTGACATCACATTTTTATTTGCCGTCGAACGCATCACTTATTTTTGCTCATAATAAAAACCAGAATTGCCTATCGATTTCTAATTAATTTCTATTAAATTTATAATGAATTTAACTTTTTAAAATTAACAAAAATTTATATTTACTCAAATTGATCGTACAAAGCAAATTCAATTTAAACCAATTTAATTAGACTCAAATTCGATAAAAATCACAGTAAGGGTGTGGGTGTGGGTGTGTGGCTGTGGCTGCGGCTGTGGCTGTAGGGGTAGGGTTGTGTTGATATTTCTGTGATTAACTTCTCACACCCAAATCCAAACCCACCCACCCACACCCACACCCCACACCCACACCCACACCCTTTCTATACATACATATCTCGAATTAAGTGGGCTTCTATTATGCCGGAAAGTTATAAAATCGAGACTGGGCTNTACCCTATATACTTCAACACTCCTTTCAGATCGTGTTTCACAAAACGGGTCAATTGAAAATGTTAATCAGATCTAGCCATAATAGAGCAAAAGTGAATGAAGAATAATTAGATTTGTCAGGCAATTAATGAATTCAACGTAATCTAGATCAACGATAACGTTGAGCCAATGTTCTTAATTATGCGATAGGAATAAAAATATATGTACAGTGATGATGTTGCAAGTATATTTCATTTCTCAATCTCAACATTTACTCCATACAACATTTCAAAAAGATGTCTCAAATGGAAAAACTTTTTTCTGAAAAAGGGAAAACCACTACTCCTTCATGAAAGTCACATCTACACTGTAGAGCGTACCACAACGACAAAATTGATTTTTCGTTTTCAAAATCGTGATTGCAAAGGTAAATTGACTTCGAATATCATCAATCAACTAATTCAAATAAAAATTATTTATTAATTAAGCACGTTGTCATACCAATTTGTCCATGAACGTATTTCTCTCCCTACTAACGATACATTGTCATGCTCCACATCCTGATCGTGTTCCAGCTCTCCAATTAAAGAACGAAATAAAAACTCGTACTGTAATGACAGATGAATCACCCAGCTCAATTATTAATTCAGCCTTACGCACATATCCATTGAGTGCTGCTGGTGAACTTCCTAGAAGTGACGGCCTGTCGCTCACAATTCGACGACAACGTACTACTGAAACAGTGGATGTCAATGGTCGTTTACCAGAAAAGTTGCGAAAAATGTATCGTGATGAAGACTTCATCTTACACGAAGACAAAAAATTAATTATCTTTACAACGAAAACTAATTTATCTATTCTAAAGCAAAACAAACATTGGTTCGTTGATGGAATGTTCAAAGTAAACTATCAATCACATGTGTCTTTTTTTCTAATTCTCTTTCATGTAGGTGTGTCCCGACGATTATTATCAACTCTTCACGTTACATGCGATGATGACTAATGCAATTATTCCTCTCGTGTATGGATTGCTAATTGGTAAAAGCAACGGGGATTACAATCAATTCTTCGAAAAATTATTTGAACAAGATAATTTTCAACCTGAATCAATTATGACTGATTTCGAGTCTGGTACAATCAAATCAGTTAAAGGGACGCTACCTAACGTTTTACACAAAGGCACGTTCTAATCTATTCACAAAAAAGAAAAGATAATTAAAAAGTTTGTTATAGGATGTCTCTTTCATTTTTCACAAGCGATATGGCGGCAAGTTCAAAACAAAGGATTGGCAACCAAATATAGAGAAGATGAATGTTTTCGTTTAAAAGTAAAAAATTGATTGCTCTTGCTTTCGTTCCCTTGGATGAAGTTACAACTGCATTTGACTTAATTGCCAATCAATTCGACGATGACGCCAACGATTTGCTCGATTATTTCGAAAAAACTTGGATTGGTGAACCAAAAAGAAGAGGTAATTTTTTCTTAATTCTTGAAAAATTTGAAATGTATTCGGTATTCTTGGGAACCGGTCGAAAGAAGTCTCTATTTGATCACAAATTATGAAATATTCATGATCGTGTCATCGCTGCTGTACCTCGTTCCAACAATTCCGTCGAAGGCTGGCATAACGGATTTGCTAATCGTGGCTCAATAAGTCATCCAAACATTGTGAAACTGACAGAGAAGATTCGTCGCGAACAATCGAAATTCGAAGTGGACATGGCGAAGATTCTCCAAGGTCATAGTATCAAAACGAAGAAAGCCTGTTATCGAAGATTGGACGAACGTATTACTCGGCTGGTCAACGCATTCGACTCATCTCAACTGGGTGAATTCTTAAAAAATATGACAGCCAACACCAACATTATTCTTTAAATGTTTTTTATTTGGTTATTCTTTTTCTTTTTGTTCTCAAATTTTTCATCGTTATGTTATGTATAATGTATAAAATAAAGACGAATTAATTGTTCAATTTCACATCTTTAAGAAAAAGAATTAATTAAGAGAGGTGAAGCGAATAGATAGTGACGAACAAAATGCAAGAAAATTTTCTGTGGCGAACAGAACGAAAAATATTTTTCTGCGACGAACTGAACGCGACGAACTGAACGCGACGAACTGTCGTGCGACGAATTGATTGCGGGTGTGGGTGTGAGTGTGAGTTTTGGCGTCGGTTGCGTCGATAGGGTGTGGGTGTGGGGTGTGGTTTGGATTAACATATAGCAGCCAGCCAGCCACACCATTTTAAATTACTCAGAATTAAATAATGTTTATAACTTCAATCGTTTTGAAAGTATTTAAATATAACCAATTATATTTATTAGGTGTATGCAACAGAGCTATTTTGTTAAATTGATGAAAATATTACACTTAATTTCTACTCTTAAATATAATGCCAGTAATAAACGAATAATTTAACTAAAAATGTTGAATTAAAATATCTGAACATGCTTTAAAAGTTTTCGAAGTCACCCAAAATTTGAGAACTTCATTTACCATCGTAAGCTCATTTCGTATTGATTCGAAATGAAACCGGTTTGATGATACCCCTAAGCAAGGTCAAAATGCGTAGCGGTTAGCTCAAAACATACCCACGCCCTCAAGTTTTTGAACGAGAATGATTTAGTTATCGTTATTTGATAAAGCAACATTAAAAAGCCACGGTTTTGTATGCGTGATTTACGCCCTGTATACGGTCTCCATTTTGCATGATCGGATGATTTAAAATCTATAGAATAGCACTTTCAATACAGAATTATTTATGTTGTTTATTTCTCTTTTCATAACGTATGCTCACCGACGTAAAATAGAAATGCCTACGGAAAGCAGGGATAAGAAAGGATGAGAAAAAAATGCATGTTAATTTTCTTTCTCTTATCAATAGATCCGATATTTGTTTGTGCTTCAGGCACTTGTATTTTATTTTATGCATTACCAGCACTCATAGAAAAATTCAAGGACAGTCCTTTCAAAATTCTGTAACATACCGCTTCCGAGTGGTAAACAGAATGATACCATCACTTGCGAAGGTAGAAAAATGTTGCCTTTGTACATCACAATCGCCGAACTAATGGTCGCTCATCTGTATAATTGTATATATTGCCATCGAGCTGTGATCATTCTTTCCGTGCTTCTTTTCTGTTTTAATTTCGTAACTTGATATAAAGTTGCTTTTCGGTAGTCATTACTGTCATTTTTGATTAAGATGGCGTTTAGTGCACTATTAGTTATTTTTCTCCTTCTTCTAACTAAAACTATTGATGCTCAAACATTGTATCCGACATCAGCGGGCGGTGTTGGTGCCGTCTATACTATGACGAATGCACTGAATATGAATCAGGTTATTATCTACCGTCTCAACGCGACGGGTCAATTGACATATATAAACACAGTGAACAGGAATGGAACTGGTATGAATGCGACAACCACAGACCCATTGTTTTTATAAGGCAGCATGACGGTTTATTCAAATTATTTATTTGTTGTCAATGTGGGCTCGAATTCGTTGTCCATGTTTATGATTAATTCATTGGATGCTACACAATTGACACTATTATCGGTACAACCAGTGAATGGATGGTTCCCTGTGTCGGTGACGGCCAATTACCTGTATGCATGTGTCTTGACTGGTGGGAATATCACAGGAATTCGTTTTTTCACCTATAATTCATCAGGTTTATTTGTCGTACCGTGGTTTGATCGTATTGTTACACCGAGCCCTACACAAAGCGTTCCATCTAACAATTTTGCTGGAACAATGAGTAAAATCCTATTTTCTGCTGACAATATGGCCTTGATTGTTGCTTATAAGAACTACTCTTCGTCACAACCAGGCAACATTTTGCTCTATCTGTTAAGCAATAACAGCACTATGTTGGGACTGGCTCCAGTTCCGACAAACTTATCACAGGTTATACAACCAACCTCAATAACATTGATGGGCACGAACGGTTTGTTGGTTACTGATCCAGGAGCGAATGGTATCCTAACAATGTTTTATTCATCAATATTCAATACAAACGGCGCTATATATAACAGTATTTTGACACCGATTAATTCGACGCTTTCAGGCATCTTATGTTCGTCGGCATATTCGTCAAAAATTGGTAATTATTATGTTGTCGGGCGGGCTGGAGTAACAACAAGCATTGTCGAGCTAAATTTGAATTGGAATAATTTTAATCCTGTTACCGTTGTTCAATACTATTCATTGCCTAACAATGCTGGTGCATTCGAAGCAACAGTGGTCAATTTAGGTGGTACCGATTATTTGTATGTACTCGGTACAATGGCACACACCATCAGCGGTTATCAGTTGAATGCAGCCGGCAATGCAACAGCCAATGGTATATCTATTGTTCAGCAAGGATATACTGCTGTCGGCATTGCAGCATTTGTCCAAACCAGCTCGCTGTCGTCTGTATCATCAACTGTATCGACACTAGCGTTGGCGATCACAATCATGTTTTGCTTGATGAGCATCGTTTTTTGCTCTCCACACAATGAATGACCAACAAAACAAATTACTCATTGAAAGACTTGCAATATTCAAAACATTTTTAGCTACTCAGACGAAAGTCCAAGTTGTGTTAATTAGTATACGTTTCACTTGGTAACCTAACGCTTCATTTAGAACAATAATAATAAAACTCGTATTTCCTGTCCGCCTGGTTTTATTGCTTCTTGTTATTGTATTGACCTTCGTAATAACTTACAGCTTTGCTGTTGCTTTAATACTGAGAGGATGTGGGCGTGAGTTATTCATGAACTTCTCTAACACCATTACTCTCACCAGCACCTACACTCACACCTTAATAGAGAAAAAAAATGACGAACTATTGATCTATTATAATAGTGGGTTATAATCGTATTTTATGTCACTTACGAGGATCGATCTAAACAAAATCTGAAGATAAGAAAGAAATCAGAAAAATAGTCAAATTTCCAGAAATTCCCCCAGTTCTTTATAACATCTGGCAATCTCACTACGGATAGAAATTATTTTTATTTGCTTATGATTATTTATGTATCACACGAATGTTATTTTAATATGTTCAAAAAAAAAAAGTTTTATTCTGCACGCATTTTCAACTTGTAACATGTTTCATACGAAAAAGTGGAAAAAAGCGGAAGAGGTGGCAACCCTGTTTCACACGCACACCCCTTCGTTTATTCATTAACACAACTATACTTCACAAAACAATGTGAAACCCAGGATATCCGTCGTCTGGACGCCACTCCTTTGGGGGGGGGGGGGGGGG